TATAGATGAGATTGGTGCTAGCTCACCAAGCCAGGGGAGGTAAGCTTCTGCCCTAATGTAAGCAGATGCCAGACTTCCCAAATTGTAGGTACTATGACCGACTGAAACATTGTAAAATATTTTAAATGTACTGTATGTTTGTTACCATCTGTACCAGCAGACCAAGCCCACATCACTCGTCCTCAGGGCTGGAAATAGTTACCAGTGTGTAATATACCAATATGTTCCTTTCTTTAATATGTTGTTGTTGAATAATTCCTGCCCCTACCTTAACTACAGCTTTTTGCTGTATGGACCATAAACCACGCACTTTTCATGTGTCTCTTTTTTTTTTTTTCTGCTGTCTGCCGGAACGTATGGTCACAGTATTTGACTGTTGTCTTATTTTTAGACAAGAACTGATCTAAATAAACGATCACAAATGTTCAACAAATCGTGTTCAGCATAGTTTACAAAAGTACTATAGGTGTAATGATTTTAACCTTGTACATCCCCATTGATTTGCATTTTGACCTGAAACTATTAGAATGCTTGTTTTCTTATGGTATGCACAAATCCGAACATAAAGAAAAACCGCATTGATTTCAATCTGATCTCGTGTTGATGCTCTTTTTCAGACAAGTTTTCCTCCCAAATGTTTTTGAAGGTTTTGCAAAGGCTTAAAAGCTGTGATACAAATAATACATTCTTTACCTGGCATACTTAAAGATTGAGCTACTTGTCAAGAAAACAGATTTAAAGTATTTTGTACTTTGCAGAATTATTTCATTAATTTCTAATTTCCTAAGATACTCTCAGAAGCCATCACAAAAATGTGATATCAATAAGCCCATATTGAATGCACCAACAATGAAATCGTATTTTTCACACCATATACTTGGCTAGCTCACTACTTTAATTCTAGACTATCCTTCCTCCATATTTGTTCTGGTAAATAGTGTCAACTCAGCAAAGAACCATTTTGGCTGTGCAATTTCATAAAATCATTAAAAAGTACAAAAGTTCACCCTCATACCAGGCTAAAATATATCATAACAAGCATGTGAAAATAAGTTGTGTTTTGTTTCTTTTTAATGTGTGTTTATTTGTCAGTATTGTAAAAGGAAACTAGATAATTCATTCGAGCTGCTTCTCGCTATTCTGTACACGGGGACATTAAATGATTGCATTCTCTCAACAATTTTCCAATTTTAATTCTTGAAACACCCAGTAACCCATGTAAAAAAGTTAAATAAAGTCAGTAAGCTGATGACTAAAATGGCATTCAGTGTATCACAATCCCCTGTACCAGCTCCCACTTCCCAAAGTTTAATTTCAAGAGAAAATTTACAATTTACTGTACATCCAGCAGCATCAGCAACTTTGTTGGCAGCATGAAAATTTAGTTAGCTGAAGTTCGCTGCCAAGAACCGACTGTAGAAATAAGTCCGCGCGGCGTCGTAAATGCTGATGCCCCCAGCCGAGCGCGAAAAATATCATCGGGTCGGGATTCGAACCAGCGCAGCCAGTAGGTTCAGGGTTCAAGCCGGGCCTGAACGCTGCCGACTTAGACACGGAGGAACGATAGGGAATGCAGCTCCCGGCGACGATCCGATCTCAGCTGTCGTTGACGCCCGAAGACTCTGGGGCTGTCAAAAGAAGATACGGTTTGGCCGACCGATCGACCGTCAACCTCGGAACGACCAGGACGACTGAAATATCGTGCTCGGGGGTTTTCTCGCACGCTGAGTCCAAATCTGGTAGTGCCGATGTCGTCCGGGCCCCGGGGACGTCATTTGGGGACCTCCCGAGCACGCCGATGACACTCCCACGACAAATACGATTCGGCTCCAAACGTTGCACCCGAGCTGGTGCATAAATTTCTTAAAAGTCGCCAAATATTATTATTATTAACAGCAAATCGCCCATAATAGTTTATTATCCTGATCATTTCATTATTGTCACATGGCACTTCACTGGCGTTGGCGCTTTGGAGCCACACAACGATGCACGGGACGGGAAGCATCCCCAAAGGATCACATCCTGGACGAGCGAGGCGGGATTGCCTACCCCAGGAAAGAATCACATCCCGCGACCACGATATGTCGGTGAGTGTGCCGTTGCCGTAATTATTAATTATTGCTCTCCCCCTTTGCCGTAGACCTTTGCCGTGCCGCGTCCCCTAGGGGTTATACCCTCTCCTCCTCCCCACCCCGCATTTCCCGCGCCTTTATGGAAACGAAAACAAACAGTGAAGATAGGTTGTCACGATCGGCGTTTCGGCCAATTACCGGTAATACCTACTCATATAGAGATCCTCCAATGGTCACGTGACCCTAGCACCGCCTTCCTCGGTCAGGAGCAACTCCTTTGCGAACGAGTGGCGAAGAGTGGCAAATTATGAAAAGTTGGGCCTAATTAGGCACATTTCGCCTACTTTATGGACCCAAAGACTGCTCACTTTATCACTGACGACAAAACTCACAGCTCCCAACGATTTTTGAGCATGACACTCCCCAAAAATATAAAAAGTTGACACTGAGTACCGAACAATGACACACGGTGTCAGAGGTTAGGTTAGACCATTCTTTGCTGAAACCAGTTAAAAAAGCATATGGATCCAATTTAATGATTCAGAAAATGTTGTCGCCATATCTCTCTTTAACTGGGCCCTACGATCTAACATTTTATTTCGACCTTTTCAACATTTTCCCCGGGCCCGCATTTGGAATCTCGCGCGGTTCGCCACTCAGTGGGCCTTGTGACGTCAGCATTGGAGGATCTCTATTTCGGGGGGACGACTATCGCTGGCCGGCCTATACTCGACCGAGCTCTCGCTCGCACTCGCAGGCCGGCCTATCCTCGACCGGAAATAGTCTTCCCAACTAAAGAATGGTGCACCGCTCCTGACTCTTGTCCACGGCTCTCCACCGGTTACCCCCACCACTTGGGGTCTGTGTAGTTAATCCGTGCGCATGCATGCATGCATGCATCGACTGCTAAAGACTCACTACTGTAGCTGAAATTGGGTATTTTGATGTCGGAAAACACATGAGTGTCAAATTTTAACGTTTTTGGGTTTCAACATGACGGTTACATGCGTGAGTTAGACGAGTAAAACCGAGTTAGGAGGCCGCGCGGGCTCGGCCCAGCTGAACGCTTAATTTTTCATACTGAGCTCGCGCGGTTGCGAGCTTGTATTTCCTTGTCTAAAGGTCCATCTACAATGAGCGGCGCAAGCGGTGCAGGAGTTCTGTTTCCGGTGCAGGGAGCGCCGCAAAAGATGGACAAAGTTCATCTCCTGCGCCTACTCCGCTGCACCGGAAACTTACGCGGTGTGTCTTTTCTTCTTCTTCACAAGTTTCAAGTTCCCGGTGCAGCGGAGTAGGCGCAGGAGATGAACTTTGTCCATCTTTTGCGGCGCTCCCTGCACCGGAAACAGAGCTCCTGCACCGCTTGCGCCGCTCATTGTAGATGGACCTTAATTCACCCATATTATCGGCATGTTGAGTCACAAATATGTTAAAAGTTAACACTCATCCGTTTTTCGACATCCAAATAACCAATTTCTGCTACAGTAGTGAGTCTCAAGCAGTCGATGCATGCATGCATGCATGCGCACGGATTAACTACACAGACCCTTGCTTCGGCTTGACTTCGGCACCCGCGAGATCTCGCGAGATATCGCGAGTCCTCGCGAGTCCTCGCAGGAGGACCCGCGACGCGGAGGATATCCGCGAAAGGACACCGCGAACCCCCGCGAAAGGATACGCGATCACTTCAGGACACCCGCGAAAGGACCCGCGATCACTTAGGACACCCGCGACAAGAGACTCGCGGTTCGCGGCCGCGGCTCGTGACGCTCGCGAACCTACCCCCTCCACCAGCCACAGGTGCCGAAGCCGAAGCGGAGCCGTTGGACCTTTATTACCCTGTTTTCGGTGCACCACTCTTTAGTTGGGAAGACTAAACACCAAGTATGAGAAATAAAACGCAGCATTTCAACCATTCGCGGTTCTCTCCACTGTAGGACTCCCCTCTCCTCCGCCTTTAAGTTTCTGCTGTTTCGACCTGCCTGGTAAGGTCATATAAAAGGCTAGGTCTGGGCAAGTGCAATGCATCATGGGAGAAGTGTTCGGAAGTGACGTATTGGCGCGAACCATTCTTACTGGGGTGGGGGAAACCGCGCGAAAACTTGAGTGCCGTTTGTCGACGAAACCATGTTAAAAACATAAAAATAACGAAAGTTTCAAGTGATAATCACTCAAAGTGTTGATTTCGTCCTTCGCTGAACCCCGCTCTTTACGGTACGTCTCACTTAGAGCGTAAATAAATCGAAATAAAGGCCTGGAATCTCTCCAATTTGAACGGCACACCATTTCGCGCGCGCGCATTTGCGGTGCATGATGGGAGAAATGCGCCCAATCAGAGCGCTTGTCTAGACCTAGCCTTTAATATGACCTTACTGCCTGGCTGACTTCCTGCTGAAGAGGCCAAGAAAACTGAGAAGTCTCTCTCTCTCTCTCTGACGGCACGTTAGCCAGCAGTTGGTGAAATTGGCTGGAGTTCTCCTCACATATCGTAATTATTTTGAGTTCACGATGTGAAAGGAGCTCCTTTTCTAACTTTCGAGAAAGACAGTGGAGTTTGTAGGCGAAGTCATTGCTTGAATTTCCTACCTGATTCCAAACTTAACCTCACTTAGCCCTCAGATTGCTTGTGTTTTTAAAGGGAAAATTAGTTTAATAAATAAGTTCTATTATGGTGGATTTAGTCTCGTGAGGCAGCTCGCCTCAGAGGTTTTCAGCC